CGAAAGTTTCTCGGAGGTCCGACAGATGATCTTTCTGAAGTTTAGTCTTGACAATCATATCATCAATATATGCCTCGACGTTTCTCCCAATCTGATCAAAGAACACTGTGTTTATCATTCGTTGGAAGGTAGCCGGGGCATTCTTAAGACCAAACGACATGACCGTGTAACAGTATAACCCCTGATCAGTGACGAAGGCCGACTTCTCCTGATCTTTCTTCCATAAGGGAATTTGATGGAAACCAGAATAGGCGTCCATGAAACTCATCAAGGCATGGCCGGCTGTTGAGTCGACCAGGTTATCAATTTTAGGCAGAGGGTAACTGTCTTTGGGGCACGCCTTGTTTAAGTCTGTGTAGTCTACACACATTCGCCAGGTGCCATTCGGCTTTTTAACAAGCACCACATTTGCAACCCAGTCTGGGAAGTAACATTGCCGAATGAACCCTGCATCAAGTAATTTTTTAACTTCGGCGGCTGCCGCCTGACTTCTTTCTTCGCCATGGTTCCGCTTCTTTTGTCGTACCGGCTTCTTTTTCAGATCCACGGCGAGTTTATGTACCGCCAGATCAGGACTAATGCCTGGCATTTCATGGACTTCAAATGCAAAGATGTCCTTGTATTCTTTCAATAGGTTGTGAAAGTCGTCACCTAGGTTTCTCAGAGCAGTCGTCCCAACTTTGACTGTTCGGTCAGGACGTGAGTCATCTAAGATCAGGTCCGCATGCTCACCAGCCGGCTGCGGGCGGAACTCATCCGGCCGCTCCTCTGCCAATGATTGCTATTTCCTTGCTTTTCTTGCGGACTCTGTCTGGGACGCCTTTCTCTTTTTTCCGCCTGCTTCTTGAACAGGCGCACTCTCCTTGACATTGTCAAGGTCTGTTTTTTCACCACTTGACCCAGTGGCCATAACAGTGGGCTTGACATCCGAGAGATAGCACTCTCGGGCCATCCTCTGATCTCCCCTTAGGGAGCCGACTGTTCCATTATCCCTCTCAAACTTGAGCAACATAAGAGACGGGATTATAACAGCCTTGGAATTATTCAGGGTTGGTCGACCCAGAACCATGTTGTAGGCCGAGAGTTCCTCTACTACTAGGAACCGGACTACCATGTGTCGTCCTTCCCCTTTTTCGCCCAGGCGAATGGGTAAATCTACTCGTCCCAGTGGGTGGACGACTCCTCCTCCAAACCCTATTAAAGGGTGGGAGGCCGGATGTATGCAGTCAGTCTGATATTTCAGTTTCGACAGACATTTGCTGCTGATGAGATCTGAGGAGCTCCCGGTATCTATGAGGATTCGGCCAACTCTCTGGTTGGCCACTTTACATTCAATAACGAGAGGGTCGTCATGCGGCCCCCTTACCCCTCCTAGATCCTCTTCAGTGATGACAATCTCAGGAAATGTATATTTGGACGGCCGTCCTTGGTGAACGGAATTTACATCTAACCGCCTTATATTATCTTTGTTGCCCCTAATAGTGGGGCCGCCTCCTGAGAAGCCGCCTGCAATGGTGTAGACGACTGCATCATCTGTATCGGAGCTGTCGGCCTGTTGATTCTTTTTGGCCGACAGCTTTTTTGAGGAAGTGTTCCCCGTAGATTTCTTGACATAAGTGTCAAGATCACCTTGCTCAGCCAGGCGGTCTAGGTACCGCATGAGACTGATGCAGTCATTGGTGTGATGACCAACGTCATCATGATAAGCACAGATTTTATCTTGGTTCCGGTTGTTTGCAGAACCCTTCATGGGGACCGGCTTCTCAATTGAGATCCGTCCCTTGATTTCTTTTAGGATAAACTGGTTATCCTTGTTAAATGCATACTTTGGGGAGTATGGTTTGAATTCTTTTTTCTTTTTCTGGGCCGGCTGTTTAGAGGAATCAGCCGCCCAGACCTCTTTTCTTTTCTCATCTTTGTTTGACGACTGTTTCTGTCGTCCTTCTCTTTTGTCGAACCTTTTCCCGTCCGACTGTTTTATCGTACACAGATCAGTCGCCTGTATATAGGCTTCTGCTTCAATCAAGGCCTCTTGAAGAGTCGCCACCCTTTTTCGAACCAAATCAAATTTGAAGGTAGACCCGTCTTTGAGACCTCTAAAAAAGTCGGTATAAGCTACCTCATCCGGTAACCCTTGAATCTGTATTCTCATCAGGTAAAACCGCCTGATGTAAGAACGAAGCCCCTCTTTCTCGCCCTGCTGAATTGTTCCCAAATCAAGGGTCGTTTTCTTCGCAGGGATGTTCATGGCGAAGTTGGAGGCAAATAAGTAAGCAAGCGTCCTGAAGCTATTTACACAACCAGTCGGCAGGTTGCCGAACCATTGCTGTGCGATTCCTTTGAGAGTCGCTGGGAAACACTTGCACCAAGTGGGATCATCCAACCCTTGAAGGTACATCAGGTTGGTGAATGCCATCAGATGGTCTTCTGGGTTAGTAGTGCCGTCATAGGCGCCTACTAGTACATTTTTCACTTTGGCCGGCTGAGCGGCTTCAGTAATTTCCTTGGAGAAGGCCGACGGCTGTTCACCAAGTCTAAGCAACCGTAGCTGCCAGTCCATAGGTTGGACGTTTTTTGCTGTAGGTCCACCAAATGGAGGTGGCTGCATAAAATACTGTTGCGGCACAAATGGTAAGTTTGGTACCGCCTGGGCACTATGAAAGCCGGACTGACGGGAGGTGCCGCCTGACTGACTCTCATGGTACTACTGAGTATGCCTCATCGAGGCATTTCGCAAACTGTCTTGAAAGTCTGAAGTAGAAGCCGACTCTGACAATCGGTCACTCTTCTTCTGCTCTAGCAGTAGCCGAGCATCTGTGAATGTTTGCTTTGACCCGTCCGCCTAAATATGACGAACCGGTTTCCTATTTCCTGTAGGATAACGGAATTTTGTGAAATCAAGGGCAGGTGGCTCCCGCTTCCTAGATTTAGGATGAGGAGTCGCCTCTCGCCCTTGAACTGGCTTCCTCTTCAGTGAAGTGGAAGGTTTCTTGGCCGACTGCTCCTTGACTGAAGCAGGCGGCTTCTTGTTGATCAACTCTTGAATCTCTCCCTTGAAGTCCCTCATGAAGGTCATGAGTTCGTTCCTTGTGATGGGAGCAGACCCATCAGTCGGCTATTGCCGAGCAGGCGGTGCGCCTGCTGGCTCGCTTCCTGTTTGAAGATGCTCCCGTTCCCTCCTTTCGGTATGACGGGTACGTCGGGCCCTTAGGGTCCCGTCTGAAGCTGTATGAGTTTCAACTTCAAATTCACTTTCGGTGTCATGGTCCGACTGAACTTGAGGGTCGTCTACGGGACGCCTCTCTTCAGGAGTCGGTACAGACTTGGATGCCATCTCTGAAGTACTCTCCCCACAGACGGCGCCAAATGTTTCGGGGTTTTCTGATGTCCTGCGGGAGAGTTACAATTCCGAGACTGGAACCGGACGCCTGTACCTGCAAAATAACGGAGACTCCTGAGAGCTCCGCCTCCAACGGTCAAGTTAGTACCTGATTAAGGAGTAATTAATACGGAAATTAAAGTAATAAGGTCTCTCTAGGTGAGAGTGTTTAATGTAGGTAATCTGCTTTGTTAGCGAGATCAGCCGGTTATTAGTGTGTTCCGTAACGTTTCTGTTCTGTTCCCCCAACTTAATGAGGATTAATTAAGTATTTATAGTCTTGAGAAGCGTGCCACTCTCTAGGTTTAGGGTAAACCTAGGGCTGACCGGGCCTCTAAACAGGATTGGGCCTTGTTGGCCGGTTTTCCCATTTGGCATGGGTGGACACGTGGCGTGTCTCAATTGGTCCATAGAGGACGTATATGTGATTGACACGTGGCAGGCTCCTATTGGCCTACGTGAAGGACACGTGGCGGAACCTGGTTGGTCCACTTGTCAGACGATGATTGGTGGATAAAAATCCCCTAATCAAGTATGATGAAGATCTAAGCAATGGGAAGTGATGAATTTGCTGCAAATATGGAGGATTGGCCAAGGACCATGTGCGGGTTAGGGTTTGGGTTGGGGGTTTTTGTTTTTTGAAAAACAATGAAAAAAATAGAAGTAATTTGCGAAATATACCCGATGCAAAAACGCCAACCAGGATGGCGTTTTTACCTTAGGCCAAATTTTTTAAAAATTTCAGTCAGGGTAAAAACGCCACCCTAGATGGTGCTTTTGCCTTGACTGAAATTTTTTTTAAAAAAATGGCCAGGGTAAAAACGCCACCCTGATGGCGTTTTACCCTGGAAGCTTAGTTTTGGTAAATAGTTTTGCCATGCGTCTACTATGGAACATTGTTTCTCAATTAAGCTCAATTTGGTCATTTTTCCCTTTCCCTTTCCCTCTTCCACTTGATGAAAAAGATAAGAAAAATTAACGCCATAAGTGATCCCAAATATATATGGTCGATCATCTTTAAAAGTTCTCAATTATCGATTAACTCATAGCGGTCCTAACTTTAGGGAGATTTTTCAAAAAATGTCCCAAATACGGTTTGACCGATTAATAGTGTCACGTGTCATGTTTCTATTAGGCGTAGTTACAAAAGGTCTTGTTCTCTTCACCTTAAAACCATAATATTTAGTAAAACATATCAATAAATATTCAGCACGTGCTAATTTTAACCTGTTTACCCGGTCATAATAAGATTGGGATTGTTTTAAGAAGTATCCCCTTAACATTGGAATTACCATGACTTAATCAATAGTTTAGACCTTTTAAAGAAGAATGTCCATAATTGAGACTTTGGGACCAGTAGCATCAATTTTTCAAAAAGATATTACTCAAGTCCAGGAATGAATTCTATTTTATTCACATGCATGAATGTATTAGACAACATTTATTTATCTTCTTTGTCAAGTTGTAAACATTGTTCATTTAAAAACTACGCCTAAGCTAAGTAATGGTGCACTGGTGCATGGGAGGAGAGAGAGTTAACACAGGAGGCAAACATAAATATATATGGCTGGTTACCTCTTATACAATTTACATTAAGGCAAACATAATCCAATTCTCAAGTCTAAAACATGCTTCATATACATGAAGATCATAACTTGAAATCATCTTACATGTTGTGCATAAACACTTACAAATAATATTGAGCAATAATACAAATTTTTACAATCCAATTTGTAATCTAAAATTCTCAGTTAACTTGATCTGATTCCGAATTTTGGATATTCTCTGGAACTGTCTCATATAATAATATACACTCACAAAAATGTTTGTATAACTTATTACGATAAAAAGTAAAAGATGGGCCAATAGGTCCTATATACTCGACAATAACAAACTTGTGCATGAGTAGCATTAGCAAAGAGCATATTATCAAAGTGTAGACAGCGATCCACGATTGAACATAGATTGTTGTTGCATACACCGCAGTCATGAAAGTCAAAAGAGTTGTGTAGAATGATATTAAGAGCAAAAAGATGCTGAAATCCATTAAGATCACCGAATTGCCCTTATTGCCAGCAGCTAGGATCCAAAGAAGACAAAATAGTACCATTGTTGATAAGCACATTGCCGATATGTCAAAGAACATAAAAGCCTGAAATGCCATCCTCTTTACAAGAATTGGAGTCCCTTTTCTTACTTTATCACTAGTTTCTTGGTTTTGTCCACCAGGAACAGTAAATGCTGCTGTGAACGTTACCGTCATCAAAAGTGCTGCTATTACACCAATTGTGTCCACATATTTATCCATATCAGCAGTAGAAATACCATACACACTTCGATAACCTATAAATTCTAGACCTTCATTCAAAATTGCTTCCAACTGCATGCATCAAAAGGAATTGAACCAGGTTATTAAGGTTAATAATACCACATGGCAACATCTGATTAGTTGTTTTTTAAAAAAACTTAAAATATCTAATTTTTTTTTTTTTAAATAAAAAAACACCACTTCCTCCTCTCACCAACCCAACCCCTCCCAGCGAGTTCCCGGAATCCCGCCCCCTCCCCCGCGCCGACAGCAACGCACAGTCGCGCACTCCTCCATCGCCGGCGATCCCGGAATCCCGCCCCCTTCCCCGCGTTGAACCGAAGAAACCCCATCAAATTCCCAGATTCTGAACTAATTTTCGATCAAAAATCTAGGGCTTGGTCCCGACTCAATTAGCCCTAAAACGAGTGATTATGAAGAAATCGAATGAATTCGGCTTCGATTTACTCCAACAGATCGAACGGCCGAATCGGAAAAATTGGGTATTTCGAGTGGATTTGTGGGAAAAGAGAAGAAGGGGAAGAGGGGCATGGGTGGTGTCGGGTAAGGAAAGGGAGGAGGGCAGGGTGTTGCGGTGTTTTCGATAAAGGGAAAGAGGGCAGGAGAAAAGGAGGAGGGTACCACCGGCGGCGCCCCAAAGGGAGAGAGACGACGGCGTGCCGGTCGTGGGGAATGTTGAAGGGCGGTGTCGATGCCGGCGCCGAAGTGGAGGATAGGGCTGGCCTTGGCTTGTGCAGAAAATTCGAAGTTTATTGGCATTGGGGAGGTATGGCTATGTAACGGTAGAAGTCACCGGCGAGGGGAGGCCTGGCGCCGGCGACGGAAAGGGACTGGCCGGTCGCCGGCGAGGGGAGAGGGTTGAAAGTAAAAGGGGAAGGTGACGTGATTGGGAGAGTGACAGTCAAGGGGGTTTTTGGTTTTTTTTTTAAAAGTTTTTTTTTTGTTTTTTAATAATTAAATAATTAATTCAATAATTTAAAAAATAGTCAATCAGAGGCTGTCACGTGGCATAGTTAATCTTAATGACTAACGGGGTTAACCACCCTCAGTCATTAAGGGTATTTGGTGACATTTTCAGAAAACTTATAGGTATATGGTGAATTTGAAAATTTTTATAGATATTTGATGAATAAAAAAATTACTTAGTATAGGGTGAAAAATTCGTACAAAAAAATATTTTATATTATATTACAAATAATGTACTCCATACTACACGTTCCCTCAATTGCTAATTGAATGCATCAGTTCAAGTAGCACACTACACTTGTTATTACATGAAGCAGACTATTAAATTCTATAATCATGTATTAGTAAAAAAATATTGAAAATACAAAAATATAAATTATTACATGTTAATTTTTTGAATGTTAGTTAAAACTCTTAAATGAAAAAAGTCAAGGTTATTACTCATAATAATATACAGTAATAAGTAGCCAAAAAATTAAAGTGATGATGCATTTTCATAGCTTTTACCAGTGCATAATCTTATTGCAAATGTAAATAGTGTAAATAGAAAATGCAATAATAAGAACTTACTTCATCAGGAATCTCTGGTGCGGATCTTATAATATCACCAGAAGTTATACCAGCATCATTCTTCTGTTCTAGAAGTTTCTTCACGGTTTCGCTGTCCATATCTTTAAGAAAATTAATTGCATGGTCAAAGCGTCCAGCTTTAATCGCCAGATGCAATGGTGTGTTTCCCTCAAAATCACGGAATATTAAGACACTTCTTAATTCAGGACGTGATTTAATAAGGTAGCTAGTAGAGTAATTAGATTGTTTTACTAATAGATGCCAAAAAGTCTGCCCATATTTTTGGTCTGGCAGCATTTTTGTGTCGTGACTAGAATTCTTGAGCAATGTTAAAATTACTTTCACATTACCACTTTTAGCCGCCCTTAAAAGAGGTGTTAGACCATCGTTGTCATGTGTATGGGTCGCCTTCTCATTTGCTTTCACCAAATATTTTATGGACTCCTCGTCGCATAAATATTCATATGTACCTAATAATTAGACAAGATAATTAATATTAAGTTAAGATATGTTGCTCTACTAGTTTACTACTATAGCAAAACAAAATAGTGTATTATCTCGTTAAAAAAAATTAAAATTAAAAAAAAAATAGTGTATTTTCATTTCTACTTAAAAATCTAATTTCTTAAATCTTTGTAATTGATAATAAACTTAAAAGTAATATGGAGTACAAAGTTATTTCTTATATACATCGAATATTCTTAAAGTACCCTATCAAAAAACAATATTCTTAAACTAAGTACGTAGAGTAAAAAATTTCACTAAATATGCAAATTACATCTTTCAAATCAGATCAATACGCAAATTATATATAGAGTTGATATCCAATGAGTATGCTCTGAAAATAAGAAGAAAGAGAAATATAAATGTGCAAATATTTTGAACTTAATGTACTTGTATTTTTCAACTAATTGTGCAATTTAATTAATTATAATCCTCCTTATAAATAACAAAAATTAAAAACCAATTAAATTTACACATTTAATAGAAAATATATACACAGTCGGTTCAAATTAAAATATTTGCATATTTATCCTTTTCATCATTCTTAATTTAAAAACCTTCTCATCAAATTCCGAACCTATTTATATAAGTCCTTGTGTTGGTACGAGCTAATTTAAGTCATTCATTTACCAAGAAAGATCTTTTAACAAAAAATTACTTTTTGAAAGATTTATATGGTCAAATTACTTATATAAAAAAGAACTTGTAAAAACTATATAATTGGTTTAGAGGCTACGAATATCATATGACAACTAGTAAGCTAAGGCGCTATTCACTTCACCTTATTTTTGCTAAACTGAAAATATTTTTATTGAACTGAAATTATATTTTGCTTGACTGAAATTAATTTTACTGAACTAAAATTAATTTTACTGGTTTTTTTTTATTAAATTTGTTCTTTAAAGTTACTGATTTTTACTGAATTGAAATTAATTTTATTAAACTAAACTTATTTTTGTAAAATTATTTTTACTAAATATTATCTTTTTAAAGTGAAGTGAACAGGACCTAAGATTTTTTTTTTTTTTGAAGTTAACATAACAAAGCATTAGTGACTTACCCAGGGGGCATCCAGCAATGAGATGCAGAGGTGTTTGATTGAGCTTGTTAATTAATTTAGCAGTATCTTCGATATCCAACTCTATCAATCTTAGCACCATCGTTTCACTTTGATTTACTATCAGTGCTTCATGCAGTGGTGTATTTCCTACAATGTTTTGCACCAACCATGGCGGGTCATAACGAGCTCCTATCACACTAGCTTCTTCTTGAGCTTTAGTAAAATACCTACAGGATAGGTCTAGTAACTTGACTGTAAGGTCTGATTCCGAGTCTTCTGACAATCGCGATAGTTTATATTTGCCAGTGTCGGAATTGGGAAGACGAATAAGGGTGTTTGGAGGATTTCGCACAAGGATATGAACTGGAGTGTCCCCATTACGGTCTGTTTGGCAAATAAATTCAGGGAAGCTTTCAAGAACTTGTTGGATGAATTCAATATAATCAGCTGGGTTTATAGTGGTTCCATTGTTTATCTGCATTAATTTATGAACAACATTTCTCCTTTCGGAATCTCGTGAGAACAAAAAATTGCTTCCGAAGTTATGAAGTCTTCCCTTTAAAAATGTTATACTTGCCCTGTCTGTTGCTTCACATACATCCATTGTCATTTGATTTTTCTCCACATTCCTCTGCAAGAATCATAGACATCGTCACTAATAAAGATATACGTACTCCCTCCGTCCCCAAATATTTATCACATTACATTCCTCTGCAAGAATCATAGACATCGTCACTAATAAAGATATACGTACTCCCTCCGTCCCCAAATATTTATCACATTTGACTTTTCACGGTCTCCAAAACATGTTTTAAAATGCATATATCTCCAATTCCATACACGTAAAAAATTTAAAAACTTGATATTTACTAAATATACAATATGACGAATCCAATAGGATTTTATATGAACATATAGTCTCTTATATATTAACGGGAATTTATTGTCAACTTTTATAAAATTTGACCCTAATATTGAAAATGTGACAAACATTTGGAGACAGAGGGAGTATTTTCCCATTCAATGCATGTTGGCTGCATTTTTCATGTGCTAGCGCTCCAATGTATTGGTATGTAATTATGTATAACAAAATAATATACATGAAATTTATTGTACTATATTTTGTCAAAAACTATCTATTAAAAATCAGATATTGTGAGAAACTACCTAATAAAAAAGTAAAATGTTGTCAAAATACTACCTCTGGCCGGATTTCTACCGTTGACCTAATTTTCCGGCATTGAACCAACCTCAAAACTCCCTCGAAACACTACAAGGATTGGTTTTCAAGGCGCTTTCGAGTGATTTGGTAGTTGGTGGGGGTGTATTCGGGCTACAGGAAGGTGGTTTTGGGGTTGGAGGGTGGTTTCGGCGTGGCAAAGGAAGTTTCAAACGAGTTATGTTGGTTTCAGGGGTGATTGAGGTCGTGAACACTGAAATATTAGTTCAAAAGTGGAAATCCGACCAGAGATAGTATTTTACAACATTTTACCTTTTATTAAATAGTTTCTTACGACGTTTTTTTGATTAATTAGGTTGTCTTACAAAATCTAGGTTTTATTAGGTGGTTTTGGACAAAAAAAAACTCCTTTTTTTTATACACAAATTAGCTAATAATCCCTTACATGACATGTTTTTATACACAAATTAGCTAATATGACAAATAATAATATACATGCCCAACCACTAGCAATGCTTATCATGAACATGGGCAAAGCCAAGAAGTGGCATAGTGAGGAGGGTATAAACACACCATATCTTAGGCCCCGTTCACTTCACCTTATTTTTGTTGAACTGAAATTATTTTTACTGAACTGAAATTATTTTTGCTGAACTTAAATTATTTTTACTGAATTGAAATTAATTTTATTGAACTGAAATTATTTTTGGTAAACTAAAATTAATTTTACTGAACTGAAATTATTTTTGCTGAACTGAAATTATTTTTACTGATTTTCTAGTATATTTCTTCTTTATAGTTACTGAATTTTACTGAAATGAACTTATTTTTACTAAACTGAAATTATCTTTACTGAACTGAACTTATTTTTACTGAAATAAAATTATTTTTACTGAACTGAACTTATTTTTACTCAATTGAAGTTATTTTTACTAAACTGAAATATTTTTACTTAATATTATTTTTTTAAGATAAAGTGAACAGGGCCTTATTTAGTTAGCTATTAGTGTTATAAGGGGGGGGGAATACCAATAAAAATATAATGAATAAATAGTACGGATTACTATTTAAAAAAAAGGAAGTACAATGATTCAGTATCTAATTAATAATGCAAAAATGAAATAATGCCCCGTTGACTTCACCTAATTTTTGCTGAATTGAAATTATTTTTACTAAACTGAAATTATTTTTGCTGTACTTAAATTATTTTTACTGAACTGGAATTAATTTTACTAAACTAAAATTGTTTTTGCTAAACTGAAATTATTATTACTGATTTTTTATTATATTTCTTCTTTATAGTTACTGAAATTTTACTAAACTTAATTTTACTGGACTGAAATTATTTTTACTGAACCGGACTTAATTTTACTGAACTGAAATTATTTTTACTTAACTGAACTTATCTTTACTTAACTGAAATTATTTGTACTCAATATTATTTTTGTAAGGTGAAGCGAACATGGCCTAAGTCAAAAATTCCAACTTTTCTCCGTCCAGGTTAACTAGTATCAGCTCAATTTGAATGACCACAAATTAAAGTTGACATAATTAATATTATACTTAACACAAAAAAATAATATTTGAAGGAAGAAGTGTATAATTAACATCTGGTAATATAATAAATTTCACACATATTTGAGAATGGTATAGAAAGACCATTTTTTTTTTTCTTTTCTTTTCTTTTTCTTTTAATGGTTAAGTGCATGCAAGGCTAGGTGAAGTTTTGCTATTATATAGCTAAAGTTATTAAATTAGCCATGAATTAGAAGGTGTGTAGCGATGCTACTAATCCATGCATAAGACTTTAATAAAACAACAAAAATAGCATGTAAAATCTAAAAAAAATATAAAATAACACAAGAATTAATTTTGGCAACGATGGTTCTACCTCAAATTTTTCTTGAATCAAAGACGCAGCAGATATTCCATCTTTGTTTCTAATGCTTTGCCTAGCCGAGGAATCCACTAGAACTCGCACCAAGTTAAGGTTCATATTAATTGCAGCCGCATGTAATGGTGTGTTTCCTTGTTGGTCCTGATGATTTCTGAGGTCAAACACTTCTGTAATCCCCAACAAGTCCTTTCCTTCTTTGTAGTTTGGTATCGTTTTCAAAAGGTGCAAGATTGTCTTTCTTGAACCATCGCGCAACTCCGCAGACTGCGGGCAATGATAAAGTATGAGCTTAATGATCTGTAGATTGTAGGCTGAGATGATTGATGCTGCCCTATGAAGAGGAGTCGATCCTGCTTCATCGCACAAGCATGCGATACTACTATCTTTCTCTAGCAAAACTTTTATCATGTCAAGATACGCCAATGCAGCTTCTCTGTCCTTTATTGGTACATCTGTTGATTAGTTATAAAGCATGCAGATGTCAACAAATTATACAAATCAAAAGCTAAAATGATTGACTTCATCATTTGTGAAAATAATTATAATAATTTTAATGAAATAATTCAAATAGGCCTAGTATAATATTAACTAGCTTAGTATTTTATGTATGCGATGTGTGCGTGATTTTTAAAATATATATAATTAATAAATTAATATTTAATGCGATGCATTACCCCTCCCCCAAAAGCCCTCCCCTCCCCCGGAAAGCTTCTCCCACCCTCGTAAAACCCTAGAAACCCCTTCCCCGGCCTCCCCGTAAAACCACTTGCCTTCCCTCCCCCAACCTTTGAAACCCTCGAGGATGGGGGGAGGGGCAACCAAAAGTTTTATTCAGGGAGAGGTTTTTAGGTTTTGCGGGGGTGGGGGAAGCTTTTTTGGAAGTCGTGAGGGGTGAGGGAGGGGTGATGAGGCGGCTCGGTGATGAGGGTTAGGTATTAGAAGGTGGTGGTTGGTGCAGTATGGGTATGGTGGTGTAGTGGTGGCTAAGGAAATGGAATGGAAAAACCTAGGGAGTGGAGAATCAATTTGAAAGACTTTAATTTGGGGGAATGGGGATGGTGAAGGGAATGGAAAAAAATGTCTAACAAACAACATCAAAGCAAGGGAATAGGGGCAGTTAATTCTCTTTCCCATTAAATGAATACACCAAGCGAATGGCCCCTCAAAATATATAGTGGAAGTTCGTACTTACCAATAGGTTGGTGCATAGTTGCAAGGTGAAGGGGCGTCTCTTTAGACGTGTTGGTAACATAGACTAAGTCAGGATGCGTCTCTACTAACAATTTAGCAATCTCAACATTGGCATGAATAAGTGCAACATGTAACGGTGTGTTGCCCTCTACATTCTGCATCATGAACACCGGCTTCCCTTCTTTTTGGACAGTCTGCCCACATCCGTAATCATGAAGTAGCTTAAACATGTCCACGTTGCCGACCTCAGCGGCAACATGGACAGGGGTGTTTCCGTCTTTGTTTGCTTGCTTGATCAACTCATCAATGGCTTGTTTAGATATTAAGCCATTTAAAATCACTTCTTCTACGAACTCGAAATGCTTTCGTGGAATTGCTAAGTGAAGGATGTTATTTTTGTGCTCGGTTTGCTTAAGAAAATACTCATCAGTACCACTCTCTAGTTCGTTGTTTCGTGCATCATTTAGGAAGCTTACATTACCTAATGTTGCGGCATTGTAAAGCACACTATCCATTAGTAACACTAATAATTTAACTTACTTTTACCCCTCTTTTTATATTTTTGACTGTTTTAGCTATTTTCTAAATATGGTTTCACGTCCACGTACATTTTATAATAAGTAATTCCGTAACTATTACTACTTGTTATGTAGCTTTGTTCATCACCTTTAATTTCTTTTTTAATAAACAAGCTACCTTCTGATTTTTTAGTTACATATTTGAGTAATTGATAAGCTTTACCTCCTTAAACTAAAGAGACTTTGATTCCCTCTTAATTTTAAAGTGGTGGAATTAATATTTTTCATCTTTACACGACACATTAGATACTTCCTTCATTTTTTTTAATCGCAATATTTGGAATTTTACACTATTCGTACACACTCCTTTATTAATTGTCTTTTGTTATATAATTTATATATGTAGAATCTTGTTAGATTCATGTTGAAATATACTTTCATAATATCAACTTTTTATAATTCTTACCACAATATAACTTATGATATTTAAGTTATAAAATATGCATTGACAAGCGTGAAATTCTAACGTTGCGATTATAAAAAGAGAAGGAACTATAATATATTGAATCCAATTGATATATATTGTGTTTAATTTACACTTCCTCTCATGTTACACGATTTGTAATACGTAGTAATTATATAATTATAAAGCTAACATCAAATGATCAATCTAATCATCAAATGATCAATCTAATCATCAAATGATCAATCTAATCTAATCTAAAAAAACATGACATGGAACTAAAAGAAAAATGATGATGCACAACACTATAGCATCCTTATGGGTTGTTACTAGGGGTGTCAATTCGGGTAAACGGTTCAGTTTCGGGTTGGGTTTATCGGTTTTGGATTATAACGGATCGGTTTATAACGGGTTGAAATGATTAGCGGGTCAGTTTGGGTCGGTTTTGAAAATTATAGGGTTAGTTTGGTTTGGTTTTATTTAATCGCGGTTCCTATTCGGGTTGGGTCCTAATCGGGTCAGGTTGTAATCGGTTCGGGTCATAATCAGTTTGGGTTAAACCAGGTCGGTTAGAAAATGGATTTAGCCAGTTTAAAGCGGATTTTGGTTCAAAACAGTTCGGGTCCTAATCGGGTAGGGTGTAATCGGTTCGGGTCATAAACAGTTGGGTTAAACTGGGTCGGTTTGAAAACGGGTTTCGGTTCAAAATAGATCGGGTGAAATCGGGTCGGGTCATTATTGGTTAAGGTTATAATCGGTTTAGATTGAATTGGGTCTGTTTGGAAACATTTTTAACCAATATGAAGCGTGTTTCAGTTCAAATCATATCAGGTTAAAATCGAGTCGGATCATTATCGAGTCTTAAATAAGTTGGGTTTATCAAGTTGTGGGTTGAAACAGATCAGATCATAAACATATTAGGTTACGAGTTGTAAACGGCTCAATCATAATGGATAACGGTTTTTAAACAGTTCGGTCACAACGGGTTATGGGTTGTAAACGATTCGGTCCTAACGAGTTACAGGTTATAAACAGTTCGGTCACAGCAAGTTACGGGTTGGAACGGTTCAGGTTAATCGGATTTTTTCCAGGTTTAAACGATTTTTGGTTTAAAATGGGTTGGATTACTATCGGGTTCGGGTTGCTTTCGGTTTTCGGTTGTAATGGTTTGACTTGATAATGGGTCAGGTCATTAGCGGTTTGCACAACTAGTTCAGTTCAATTTCGGGTTAGAAAAAATTGGATCGGGTCGGTTTTCGGTTTCTAAAATCGGTTTAACGGTTCGGTTCATCTTCGGATCGGTTCGAAACATTAGCTTTAACGGTTCGGGTCAAAAACTGATAGCTCTAGTTGGTCCATATCATTTCTTGTGTTTTTTTATTTATTGTACTTTATTACAACCCATCAAACTAAAGACTTATGGAGTACAGTTTACATGTGTCAGTTCGGGTGGCTAAATCGGGTTCGTTTATATCGGGTCGAGTTTATTTAAATTTGTGTCATACTAAATTGTTGTATACATACAAGTCGAAATTAAAATCGAGTGTTTTTTGGGTTGGTTCACATCAAAACCGGGTTAGTTTTTGACACCCACTATATATATAATCTATAATTAAATCTTGTATTCATATCCCTTACATCCTTCTAACAACAAAAAAAGCTCTGTCTCAACTTTAATAATGTAAATGAAATCTAATAGAATTATATAATATAAAATATGGCCATGTGAGAGTGTGAGCAAGATCTAATTAAATTCGTCTAAAGTTTTAATTTTCAAATACTTACTTTTGAAAGAAATATACAATGAGTGGCTTGTGATATTTTTATTCGAAAAATTGTACTAAAATTATATATATAAAGAGGACAGTACAACCTCTTGGAAACATATAATATTTCCTCTATTTCATGATAATTGACACAGTCAAAATTAATACACGTGAGTTTGACCATTTATATATACAACTAAACATTAATAAAAAGTATTAAAAAGTTAACATTATTAACATCACATTAGTATCTATTTAAAAACATTTTACACGATACTAATTGTTTTTCATACATTAATAATAATTAAGAAAAAATTAGTCAAAGTTAGTATGTGAATAATGATAAAACTCAAAATGTTTCCATTATTAAAGATAATTAAAATAAAACAAAAAAAAAAAAAAAAAAAAAACCTTTACCCCTCTAACTAATTTTGACTATACCATACCTTTTTATCATTTTTAAATCTTATTTGTTCATTGTTTTTTATTTGAAATCCTTATTTGCTCACTTTTGAATTTATATCTTCTACTAATTCAATTCATGTAAAACTTGATTAGTTGGATTAAAAACTGATCCATACTGATTTAAAAATAACCCGTTCAACTTTTAACTGATATAAACATAATAATTTAGCGTAATTCAAACTTAAACTAAACTCAACTTGATCCAATTCAATTTATTCTAATCCACACACCCCAATTCCTGATCATGCAATTAGAATCCTACTTATTTAACTCTTTATTGACATGACAATAGTAAATGTGCATCACATGACATCGAATAAAATAAAGGACATTCAAAATTTTTTAAAAAAAAAAAAAAAAATGTACCCATTGTGTTGCTATTATTCAATAATTGTTTTTGAAGCAACGAATATTACAAGAGATGAAAGGCTTACAAGTCATGCATTAGGCTTTTCTAGAAAAGCCAAAACTTAAATTAGAGTTTAACTTCAGAGACTTTTCATGTTGGTTTGGTATTAATCAATAGTGAAAGCAACTTTTAAAAAGATGTTCCCTTTAATTTTAAGAGGCAATTTTATACATGGTTTTTCTTCGTTACCAATATCATCAATCTTCTATATTTTTTTTCATTATTTTGGTTTTTGGTTTTTGTTTTTTCTTGGTTTTGTCTTTGATGGGGGAATGATTTATTGTTCAAAAATTTTGATGTAAGAACCAAAAGCTTACAAATGATTTATTGTTCAATGATTTATCGTATTACATTAACAATACAAAAATATATTAATCTGGTCTTTAAGACTATATATTGATAAATAATTTAATGGAGTGTTCAAAATCTATAAGACTACTAGTGAGAGAAAATCTCAAATCCTAGTAAGATCGGAGATAGGTTATTTAAATTAAAGCATAATTTTTACCGCTTTAACTTTTGTTATTGTAAAAAGAGACTTTCAAGGTAAAAACTGAAATTTTAAGGGTAATAAACTAATAATTGAATATTTACATGAAAGAAAAAGGTCGAATTGTTTTTCAATTTAAACACCACTATTAGATCTGTCAATTTCACCAGCCCTGAAAATCCAGCCGAACCCGATTCGTTTATTATGGGTTTTGAACAAAAATATTTGACACAAAACTCAATTTAACCCAAACTCTTTTAACCCATAAATATGCAGGTCAAATCCGACTCAAATACAACCCGACTTGACAACCTGTATTTGTGGGAAAAAAATAAATTTACTGAAAAATGAAACCTAGTTCTTTGATTGGGATTTTGATCATCGATCCACTATTCAACATTCATTTTTCTCTCTTGCCTCTCTCTCTCTCTATCTCTCTCTCTCTCTAGGCTCAACACCTACCTACTTGCCCACTGCACCAACTGCATCCATATAACCGCGTCCTCACACATGTCATTAACCACATAGCCTACACCAACCACCATCGACCACTGTCAAGTACGAGTAGTATTTAGCTTGTATTTTATATAGCCAATGTCTATTATAGTATATCATTATTTTATATGTTAAGGTTGAATACTTGAATTGTATTCATTGATTAAAATTCACATAATTTATATTACCTCTATTTCATATTATTTGCAATATTTGTCAAATTAAAAGATAAATGTTTATATCATTTCCAACAAATATTATGTTTATTTTTAAGTTGTAATTAATAAAAAAAACGGAGGTAGCAATATAAAGATAGTATGAAGATAGTGTAATGTTTTAAGTTAGGTAAAAGAGATAATAGCCGCATCTATAAAGATATTATTTACATAATCAAAGGGGTTACGTACACTTAAATATTAACAGTGTCAAATACATGATATGAATAGATAATTAAGTAATATCAAGAAATTATACCAGGAGATGTTATTCTCTATACATTTAATGGTGCTTCTTCCTTTAATTTTACAAGCTAAGAGGCACACGCTACGCGTGTACAATATAAGAAATTAGGAGGAAAAAAAACTAAGAAATTAACTGACGTCCGCCATCAATCTAGAATCACCAACCATGTATATTATGAGTTGTGAAACTAAGAAAAAAGCATGAGAAAGAAAGAAGATAAAAATAAAAAACCCCTAAATGAGTAAAATTAAGAGTTTTTCCAAAAAAAAAAAACAAAAAAAAAAAAGGAAAATCAAGTGCAGTTTCAATTTTTATGGGGGATGAGATTAACAGTTGAAGATATAAATTTATGTGGAAGAAAGGGAGCGATTATTATAGGGTAGTTATGAACTTATGATAGGATTTTAAAAAAAAAAAAAAATTCTTTGATTGTATTTGTAATTGTAA